GCAAGTTGCGACAACGAGGTTAACCCACTTCTAAAACTATTTGAAATTCCATAGAAACGTTGGGTCTACTCATCACAGTGGGAAAATGCAACTACCAGTCCTTCATCAACTTAAACAACAGGGTGAATTTAGCTCTCGAAAACCCACTTATAAACCTCAGATGAGTGACCTTTTGTTTTGCCGTTATCAGTGTCCTGCATGTCGTCAAGGGGTGCCAGCTACGGTTGGTGTCTGCTGCACATCGGAAGCGATTCTTGACTGGAAGGTTGTCTGGAAGAGGCTTGAGTTGGTAGCCTCCCGGGACAGCTAGACCACAGCAGGTCTAAGGGACTTTGTCGTAGTCTTATGGTGAGATCGACCTACCAATCTCGTCATCACACACCTTCATCAAAGATGCAAGGGGGCTCTATAACTTTATCTAACCCTATTCCTTCCTCCGGCCGCTTTCTTATGGGCCTATCTATCGCCTACTTGTCTCTCTCCACCTCTATCTCTCGGTGCTCCTGTCCGATCTGTCCGGGCGGGAAGCCAACAAACGTGTGGTCTGTATTTCATACAAATGCACACGTCCAAACACACGCTTTCTCTCGCGCACGTTCATCCGTCCAAACGGTCGCATGCCTGGCTGGGTGGGTCCTGCTGGGTCCGGTCATTGAATGGAGAGAGCGAGAGCCCTTCAAACCCTAAACGGACCCTTATACGACACTCCTTGTCCAGCGGCAAAGGTCGTGGAGACAATAGTGAAGAGTGGCTCACAGTGTGTACACACTTTTGATGCGTGGGCAACTTCTGCCTGTGGGACAATGTTGGCTGACGCCCTCACTCGTTTGCCCTTTTAGTGCCCTCCCAGTTTTGATCACTTTATCTTGTTTGTATGCATCTGTCCACTTAGTCACAGAAGTAGCCCAACTCGTCCCAACAATCATCCATCGCAAAATTTGACCCTTTTGGATAAACTGACCCTCCTAAGGAACAAGAGCATGGTGGCCATGTCAACTCGACTGTAAGAGTGAAGTATATAAGTAGAGGTTCGAGACTGGCAGTAAATTTCATCTCATATAACTTGCAGGTATGACGGTCAAGATGGTCTCGCCTCCACTTTAGTCCTATTGAGCTTAGGCTGTGTTGAAGTAGTCCAAGCTCGTATTCTCAACTTTGTCGTAGCGCGTCAAGGGGACCCAAAAGAACGTACCCCATCGATCATAGTCCACTTTATTATTGACAGCGTCGGACCGTTTACTTGCCACATTCCTAGCCTGTACCTTTTAGTTTGTTTCTGGACAACATCGTTTGCAGTTGCTGCTATTTACAACAAGAAAGCGTTTCCCTGGGAAGCCTGGCACAATGAAGGCAATCAATCATGCTTATGTAGGCTTCGAAACTATATGCAGTTCTTGTTTGTTGACTTAGTCTTTCTAGGTTGCATCAGGTGATGCACAGACGAACAATGTTTTTTTCCGAAGGTATGAAGACCAAGATGGTGTGGTCTTTTGTGTGGTCGTACTCTTTTTTTCCCACAATGCCGGGATAAGCCTTTCGACGCCATTGAATTTCACGCAGCCTTGCCTCGAAAAAGAAAGCCTTTTGGGTGGCATCGTGAGAACTACTAAAACAATTATGGAAAAAGCTACATTTCCTTTCTACAAACAGACTTATTTATTAATTGATAGTTTGTTATATTAAAAATTAGTCGCATATTGATGGGTCTTGGCTAACAATGTCTGCCTCTTTAGATGATGGCTTGACAAATTCATCGAGTATATGCAAGGAAAATGTGAATTTTCAGGACTGTCTTGGTTTATAATTGCTGAACTCACCTAAATTTCTAGTGAAAATGTGTTTGATGAGCAGATTCAAATAGTTTTGTTTTCCCAAAAAGTGTTTCGACTTTGCCTACATCTCATCAACACACCCAGCGAAATGTTAACCACTACGCCAAATTGCCACGAGTGCCATTGGGTCACAGGGCAGAAGTGAATTTCAAGGAAGTCCAGGCATTTTGCCATATCACATTCTTTTGTGGGATTGTAGATGAGGTAAAGTTGTATTTGTATTTACTTATTTCTCGCTTTATAAGCAGGTTTTTTGAGGGAACCAGTATATCATATATGTCAGGCATATTCACACTGTTTCGTTTAAAGATAGTGGAATTTTCCCTGAAGTCCACCCTGGATGAGAATATCTTTGTGGGAAAGCAAGGCTATGTTGAATTCGACGAAAAGTTAAGACCTACTCACACGATAGTGGCAAAATTTAACTGCCAGCCCCCTTATCAGCTTAAACTAAATATGGTGAATCCACTTCATATATATGATTTACTGATAGTCTCCAAAACCTACCAATAAAATGAAAAATAATTAACGAGAAGTTGTTTGACCTTGTTTTCGCA